AAGGTATAGTAATTCATAGAATGTGGTAGTTTCTCGTATACCAATTAATGCTGGCATCTATAAAATTTGCATTCTTTATTATGCCTTTCTTTCCTATTTCTTTGTCCATGTTGCCATAATACTGTTAGCCAGTTATTTCACTATCCTGATCTCTGAGTAAAACATTTTCCATCAAAGTTGCGCATCTAATTTGACTGAGTGATCTTCTTAATCCATTGCGTACAAACTGAAATTATCCTTGTTTAATTGGCATGGCTTACCCTCTCCATTATTTGTTCATTCTACCCTCCTTCACTACATTGTTTGGTAATCTGTAGTTTGCCTGTCCTCAACAGATTGAAACGGTTTCGTCATAAATGACTGTATTATATGATTTCTGGAATGGCGCTTATATGAAACGGTGTGTCTTTAATTCAAGGTGCATTCCGTTTGTACCAGACCCTGAAAACACTGAACTTTTGTGCAATACCATGCACATATATTTGAAGTTCAGCAGGAAAATCGAGGCCGTCCGTGTAGGAATCATGTTGAACGACTCGGAGATGGTGAAATGCATCTTCCTAAATTGCGAAGACATGTAAGTTTAATGGTTATTCCCTAGTCGTTTTCCTTTATTCCGGTTATGTTTGTTTTTTTTGCAGAATAATTCAGAAGCAAATTGCTTTCTTGCTTGGCCGCCATCAGATGTTTCTCGACCTGCCTGATGACATGCCGTACCAGTCAGACCTTTCTGAACTGATGTCCAATTCCAACCTCTCTCAGTATTTTCTGACGCTGGCACGAGAGGTAAGCGTGATCCGTTCTGCTAGCGTAACAAATTTCTAACGTGATTAGACACAACAATGCGATTTAAATAACTTAACAATGTCTGATGATCAGCAGGTAGTTATTGATAGCCGCTCCACATAAACTGCGAAATCTTTTATGCAAATGATAAGTGATGCATCACTTCTTCATTTCGTTGACTTTTAGGTTGAAATAGAGTTGCTCCTCTTTGTAACGGATCTATACTGGATTACCTAGTGTCTGGTCGTCATAGTAATAACATAGTTTGTTTACCTTGTTACATCATGGGCTTTTATCTTTCACTCCAGAGCTTTATATGAAAAGCGGTAGCTAGATTTGTTTGCAGTTTGAATTCCAGTGTTGTTAGAATCTCTATCCATGGTCTTCTACACATGGTGCCATCTCTCCCACTTTTCACATCTGTTTCAGTAGATCTCAGTTCCTATGCATGTAGTCCTGTGCCTAGATTAACTTCGGATTTTCTTTTAGATATTGCTGCCCTCAATTCCTTACTGTATCTTATGCAAAGTCAAGTTTAAACACTATGGCGGTGCTATAAGATAGATTTCTTTCAGTAACTGTACGAACTAGCCAAGGAATGTACTAATAGAATCAGCAGTTCCGCAAAGTTAAAAATTTCGAGTTAATTTTTTCCCCGATTATATTGAGGCAGGATTCGAAATATATTCTATTGAAACGGCAGTTTGTTTCTGTGTTGTAGGATTTGTGCAGCAGAGTTCGGTTTAGAAGCAGGAATCTTCATTTTCCTTCAACAGATCTTGGCAGAATTTCTCGGTCAAAAGTTCCCCTTCTTTGCGGGAGAAAAACATTTTTCAGACGGATGCACATTATGTACATTTTTGGACAACAAATTTTTCCTTGATTTTGTTCATTCGGTTGCCCAGTTCCTCATTCTGTTCGTCCATCAGGCCTCCTTAAGATCTTTTCTATATGTTCTGTGAGTTGATCTCCTCCTTTTCGGTCTGTTGACGATTCTTCTTATGAGGATTAATATGAATTGTGGCCGCAGACTTACCTGCAGGATTGGCAGTCAAGGAATCGTTTTCTTTTCATAAACCGATCTACCCGACAGGATTTAAGGGGTTCTGCGATTCGTGGATGTCACTCTATCATCTTTCAGCGTTTCAGTTGGTCTTTATAACTGAAAAACACACTTTTCCATACTTCACCATGCCACCCGATTTTGTGTCACGGTCGTTTTTTATTCATTTGTGCAGCGTTCTTTTTGACAGAAAGTTATCGACCAATGTAAGTCGTCTAAGATTGCCAAATGAAATTGGAATGCAGCTCCAACACAACCCTTTAACAGAGTCGGCCTGAAAGCGCCCTGTATATTTTACATCGGCTTTACCGAAGTCTTTTCGACCTTTCCAAGTGATGCTTGGACTGCTGGTTATCTTAAGTTTATTGCATGATTTCTTCTCTACTTTCTGTTTTGTTTCGACTGTAATCACAGGACTTTCACCGTCATTTCAGCTTTTCCTACACCCAAAAATTCACTATTAAAATGAATAATTTTGGTCTCTACTGCAACATGATTCATGCTAGTTTTGTCATTAAATTTAATGTCTTTTTTCAGCTTGACATAATGGAACCTAAGACACCGGAAGATATCTACAAGCAGCATTTAGAACCGACAAGTAATTAAGATATTTATATTACGTTATTTACTTCTCCCTCAGGGTGACCTGAATGATAACGTTCAATTTTTCAGTTGCATGGCTTGTTCGTGATTTTGCGAGTGTGGCGGTCTAAGAGTTTTAATGATTAGCTGTTTTTCTGTTTCTTCCGTATTGCCAGTCGCTGATACAAACCGCTCAATAGAAATCCAGTTAAATGCCATTCGTTCTCTTCGTCCACTCTTAAATACCATTCATGTTGTAGATAGTTCTATCATTTCTCTGTCGGTACATGGTTCTCTGTTACCAGTAATGACG